GTGAAAATGTAATTGAGGAGATTAGACTGTTAGATTTACCTTAGCATTGAATGGTGGGGTCAAGTAGATATGATGTGTTTTCTGATGTGATACAATTTAAAGCATGTGTCTCATCTATGATATATTCTAGCAAAAAAAATTTTTCAAGTCCATGAGGTCTCTAGATATAACTTCTAGATCACAGGTGGTTCAGGATATAAAAGGACAAGCTAAATAACACCTTAAGAAAGCAAGAAGACACCTCAGCAATATGGGATTCTGCAGGACAACTGCCCCAGTCTCTTTAACGAGTCAATGTCATTAAAAAAAAAAGGGGGACTGTGCTAGATAGACTTAAAAGGACTTAAAGGGACATGATCAGTTATAGTGGAAGGTCATAGAATGGGTACTAGCTTGGACAAACCAACTACAAATTTGGGGACAAGTGGGGTAAATTTGAATATGGTAAAAATGTTCTGGAATGAGAAAATGGAAATTGTTTATGGAAGAAAATAGGTTACAGAACATTGTGTGGCGTATGATCTTATTTTGCTTAAAAGATATAAATATATTCATAAAGATATGGAAGGATATGCATTAAGTTGTTAGCGATATTTTTTGGTGGCAGTATCATGTTTTATTTTCTCATTTTTGCTTTTCTGTTTTTCTGTAATGCACTTATATTGCATCTGTAAAAATGAAAGCTTATTTCAAAAGAAGAACTAGAAAACCATGGGTATGCCACCTCGGTTCAATAACTCTCATTACAGAAAGTCTGCAGGGCAACAAGTACAAAAGCAAGGAACACTACCTGTCTGGTGACAGCATAACTGATCTGTAGGTAAAGTGCTTAAAGAGAAAAATGCGTAAGTGCTTACCTGACAAGGATAATACTGAAAAGTAACAGAAATGTCACTGCACAATAAATTCAGGGAAGAGGCCAATTCATCTTGGAAACAGCCAATTAAAAGAAAATCACACAAGTAAGATACATCTTGCTATGCGTCATTCACCCTCCAAATCAAGCCTTGACTACTCGTATTTACTCTTAGAAAAAAAAATCTCGTGTCTAGTATTTAAAATGCGTAAATTAGTGGTTTTGGAAGAGGCTCATACCCCATCCCGGCCGAGTTCCTCACGCCTCCGGCTGAGTGGCATTGGGCTCCGCGTCCTCCTGGGGCGGAGGGGTCAGGGCTTCCTGTTCAGCCAGCGCCTCTCGAAGCTGGCTCCCTAAGACCGCATCGTGAATGCTGTGGAACAGCAGCTCCTTTAAGGCGGGATTTTCAAAAAAGAAGTTTGACGTGAGGTCATTTACGACTTGTGCTACGAAAGAAGAAAAGAAAGTTAGTCCGCACTCTGGGCAACAGTCTTGAACATAAAAAACAAACAAACCCACTTCCGTAGAGTTGAAATATTAGAACGGTAATAAAAGTCTCACTCCAGTTCCTGTCCCCATGGCATCCCCCCCCCCCCCCCCCCCGCGCAGGTGGCTACTTTCATTATTTTCTAATGCATCTTTCCAGTATTTCTTTATGCAAATGTAAGTAAATATATAAACATTTATTCTTATCCCCCCCTTTTCTTACCCAAAAGAAAGCATACTATATTATATCCTGAATATTTAAAAAATTTAAATCGTCTCAATTTTTATGACTACATGGTATTCGATCTCATAGATGTAGCCTCGTTGTCTTACTTGGTGCCTTTTGTTTGACACTTGAGCTTCTCCACTCTATTAATAGTTTTCAGAGACAGTACTGGGACCACTAACCATGTACGTGCTTCTTATTGAGTGTGTGTAGCACGTTGCTGGATTTGCTGGGTTAAAAGGCAAATGTGTTTTTGATGTGACAGCCTCCACAGAGGCTGTTCTATTCTGCACTCACACCAGCAAGGTCTGAGCGCCTGCTCTTCCACAGTGTGCCTGCAGAGCACACTGTCAAGCAGTTTTTATTTTTGCTGTTATGTAGAGTTCATTTTCAAGCAGTGTTTTAACCAAAATTTAATATGAAACAAGAAAGCAGCATTGTATAGAAAAACCTAAATGATTTTATATAAGTAAGTTTATGGCAGCCATTAAATAATTACTAAAAAATATACCAGCCCAGAGTGATGGTTTATTAGCTCCTCTCCACCAACTGCAGCTCAGGAGGCTGCCACAAGGAGCCCAGTAACAGGAGTGCCTGTAAGTGGCTAATTTCAGAGCTAGCTTTAGAGTGATTTTCAGAAGAATAATTTTCATTTTCACTAAAAACTAAAATTAGATTGAAGTATTTCCAAATGCGGTTACTGAAAAAAGAGAAAAAAAATCAAAATAATATTTCTCTTCATTCTAGAAGTGTACTTACCACTGCATCCTGCTAAATACACATAAATACCGACATCTCCATATTCTTTTACAATCTGTAATAATGTTGAAATAAAGTTTAGTTTCTCTTGACTGTGCCAAATGCAAGTTTATTTTTACCAATATGTATTTCACTGATATAAGACACTCTAGTGCATTCACTTGATCTACTTTGCTTCAATAATTATGCATTTTTGAGCTAATCATTTAAAAATTGTATATTTCTTTTGATTTTTATATGGACAGTGATAATTAGGGATACCAAAGAATTCTTGTTAAATTTTATTTAGGTCTATAAATTTCATTTAGGTCTGATATATACTGAAATATTTACAGATGACGTGATGACTGGCATACGCTTCAAAATAAGAGAAGGGGAAAGTGGGTGTGGGGGACAAGTGAAACAAGATCAACCATAAATTGATAACTGTTGAAGCTGAGTGATACTTATGCGGGGGTTCATTACACTATGCACTTTACTTTTGAATATTTTTGACATTTTCCATAATCAAAAGTTGAAAAAAACCCCACAACAACAAAAGATGTTTAAGCGTTGAAAAGGGACTCTAAGTTCAACTGTCTGATTTTTACTGATGGCAAAACTGGGCACAGAGAGATTAAATGCCTTGTTCACGATGATGCTTACCCCTGACAGAGTTTTTACACCAACAGAATCGATAAAATTGACTTGTGTAAAATCCAGAATGACAGTGTGGACATTTTCCCCTGGGGGCATAAATCTTTGCAGTTCTTCAGGAATTGTGGTCTTAATGACTACTGGGGGAAATTTTATTTCATCATCCTCTTCTTCAGTCTTCGTAGCATCTTCCCCGTCTACTTCTCCATCCTGTGTCAAAAATTAAATCACACCAGAATTCTATGTATTTTGGTCCTGAGAGTTATAAGGAAAAATTAGTCTTTAGAGTCTCAAGCTACTGACTATACCAGATCTTTTCTAAAATATTTGCCAAATCCCAGCCTTATAATGTGACAAAAAAAATGTGTGCATAATATTCAATTTTAGCTCAGTTTATTTTCCTTTTTTTTGGCTCAATGAAATCTACTCTTAGTCCATTTTCCCCTAACTTCTAAAATAATTCTATTAACTTCAGCATGATAGACCATAAGTTACCATAAGCCTGGATTTTTACTTTTTAAAACAATATTTTCCGTCCTACTTGCTTTTGCTCAGTGGATACAGCGTCAGTCCGCAGACTGAAGGGTCCTGAGTTCGATTCCAGTCAAGGGCAGGTACTCTGGTTGCAGGCTTGATCCCAGCCCCAGTCAGGGGCATGTGGGAGGCAACCAATAAATGTGTCTCACATCAATGTTTCTCTGTGTTTTCTCCCTCCCTTTCACTCTCTCTAAAAATTAAAGGAAAAATATCCTCGGGTGAGGATTACTGAAATAACAAACAACAATGTTTTACAGAAGAGCAATATTTGCAAAATCACTTCTTGGCTCCCAGGAACCCCCCCAAATACAATTAATCTTTAAATGTCCCAATTTGATGGTTTTCTATGCAAATTTACCACCCCAAACCTTTCTCTACCTTTCTCTCAGATCCCTGAACTGAATTATTCCCTCATTACAAGAATTTTAGTACGTTGTCTTATTCTTGGTCTTGATTCAAGCCAAACAGAAGCTAAAGTATTAAAGAGAATTTAAAGTAGCATTTCTCAAACTTAGATTTCTCAGATTCTTATATTTAAGAGACTTTGGGTTGATTGTGAGGATTTCCTATAAACTGGACAGGGTAGGATCAAGTTCTAATCATGACCAAAGGAACTCTTATGACCTCAAGAGCAAGAAATCTAAAATTTTTTCGCCTTTTCTTAAAAATTTTTTCAAAAGGTTTATACACACACACACACACACATATACAAAAATGTACACATACATCACATACATTTTAAAAGGTTACATATATACACACACACATCTACAAAAATGTAGAAAGAGAAACAATGTAAAGTTAATTTTCTGTGACTCACCTTTCTTTTTAATGCACTGCTATACAAGTCACTATTTGCATAATAAATTGGGGCATTTATTTGGAATATTTTAATTCCAGGAATTTCTTTCACCTAAGAAATAAAGTGTTAGTGAATTTAAAACATGGAAATATTTCAGAAACAAAACTGCAATAGCCTCCCTCTTCCAACCTGAAAATTCACACAGAGGTTGCTAAGGGCCCTCTTAATAGTGTTTAGATAAAACAATGTCTCTCTACTCTTGCTCTGGAGGAAGGAGACCAAGAAGAAAGCCTTTTAAAATGCACATTTTTAAAAAATATATATTTTATTGATCTTTTATAGAGAGGAACGGAGAGAGATAGAGAGAAACATCGATGAGAGAGAAACATCGATCAGCTGCCTCCTGCACATCTCCCACTGGGGATGTGCCAGCAACCCAGGTACATGCCCTTGACCGGAATCGAACCTGGGACCCTTCAGTCCGCAGGCCGACGCTCCATCCACTGAGCCAAACCGGTTTTGGCTAAAATGCACATTTTGATCAGAGAACCAGGATGACGGCATAGGTAAATGCCAGTACTGGCTGACTCCCACAACCACATCAAAATTACAACTAAAATACAGAACTATCATTCAGAACCGCCTGAAATCTGGCTAAATGGAAGTCTTACAAGTAGAGAATAAAGATGAAAGTATATAGAGACTGGTAGGAGGGGCAGAGGCGACAAATGGGCTGGTCCGACTGTGTGGCTTTTATTTATTTTTAAATCCGGAAGCTATCTCTGCTGCAGAGGCCTCTTCTGAGAAGACAGGGGTCCCAGCCTCACTTTGGACCCCAGCCCAGGGTTCCAGAGCTGAAAAGAGAAGTCCCCATAACTTGGGCTGTAAAACCAGCAGGAACTGTGACTGAGTGACACTGAGGCTGCTGGAGACCCAGCAGTTCCCCTTAAAGGACAGCACATGAACTTACATGGTCCTGCTCCCTGTAAGCTCCAGTGCTGGGGCAACAGTTTGGGGGAATCCAGAAACATATGGGGAGAAACTGGATTATCTGGCATTGGAGCAAGAACTCAGGGTGGCTTTCTCTCAGACAGGGGTGCTCACTGGGGTCATTGTTCCTATGCTGAGACCTCCCCCTGTTGCAGAGATGGCTGGAAGCCATATCTGAGTTTCTCATACTGTTTGCTCTGCCCTGGTGATTTCCTGAGACCCCCACACCATCCAATTTGCAGCCCCACCCAAACTTTTTGCAATGGCTTTTCCATATGAATGGTCTATCCTGGCTCAGACTTACCTATAATCTCTCAAACAAGCAGCAGCTGGCCATCAGCAAGACCTGGCACTAGCAGCAGCCTGCCTTGCTGCACAGCTTGGCCTAGCCTGGGCACTTCCAAGCCCCACACAAGTAGCAGCCATCTGCAGATCACTCTGTGGCTTCTTCTGGGTGGCCCCAGGTAGTAGTTGACTTTGCATTTCCTGGGAGGCCCCAGAGCCACTGTACCCAATGGACAGTTTCAGACTATACCAGATTACAACTTTACACATCCATGAGGAACACACTCAAGCGGCAAACTCAGTGAACGCTAACACCTCACCGAAGCAAGTCCTACTCCATAGGAGTGTCTCTTGAACAGCAGCTCTCCCACTGTAGTCACAGCTGGTTCTCACAGCCAATTGGCCTAGAGGTCAATTCCTACCAGTGATGCCAATAGCAATGAAGGCTTAACTACAAGACTGTGCACACAGCCTACACAGGAGCACACCTAGTGTGCTCAGCTCAGGTGACTGGGAAGGCTGAGCCACTGGGCCCTATAGGACACCTACTACACAAGGCCACTCTACCAATTCCAGGAGACATGGCAGCTCTACCCAATACATAGAAACAAACACAGGGAGCCCAGCTGGCATGGCACAGTGGTTGAGTGGGCTTGTGGGCTTGGACCCCAGTGTAGGGTGTGCTGGAGGCAGCTAATCAATGATTCTCTCATGAAGGAGGAGAAAACAGTAATCCTAATACAACCTCATTTCCTAATATCTTACAGTGAATCTGAGAATTTCTTCTCCAGAAAAAACAAAACAGAGAAAACTAGTTTTAAAAGATTTTATAAAAGTCTTTGAGATTCCACATAAGAACATTCAAAATCAAGAATATTTTAAACCCTGATTTTAACCTATATTTTACATAGTTAATATTTTACCATCAGTTTAAAGCATCAGAAAAAAATCATGCACATACAAACCATCCTCTCAGTTTCAGTATTTTGTAAATATATACCTTAATTCCAAATATATATATATATATATATCTCCTCATTTAAAAATGAGACAAAATAAATATTAGGAGGTTGAGCAATTAATGTATAGTATAATGTACAGTGTAAGCTATAAAAGTGAATCCAGAGAGTAAATCAATATTCAGGATTTTCACTTTGACCAGTATACGTCTTTCCTTTTAACCCCCCCTTTTTGTCCTAGGTGAAAATAAAATTTAGTTAGCCAATCACATTACACCACATCACATGCTTACAACCATTTAAAATGATAGAAAAGGTCCTACCTCCTCATATGCATCTATATCAATATACACATCAGTGTCAGGAAGCTGTCCAAGGACTTTGTAGCTCGGACTGAAGAGAGAGAGAGTGAATGTGTTAAAATACCATTGTGTTGAGACCCCATATGTAATTGAAAAATGAAGTTGTACACACTTAAATGTCATGTATGGATGTGCTAGTGAATTCAGGAATACTTGATCCTTATATGGTGCCTTTCACATTCCTAGTGCCATTCCAAACCTAACATTCTCCACACACCTCACACCACACACACCCTACACCTTACTCTCAACATATACAATACACACATAAAGCAAATATATCTCATATCACACAAATAACACAGACACATCGAAACACATACCCCACATATGACACATACCCTTCACATACAAAATGCAATTACACACACATACCATACAAATACACACCACACCAGACACCTACCATATCAACGACCTGATCAGGAAAAAAGACTTGGGCATTTAAAGATGGGGGTAAAAATGAATTGTGCAGAGTTCAAGTCATGCCATACATGACTCAAGTTCTCATTCTACTCAGTAGATAGAACTGTCATCCTACTCTACTTAAGAAGAGGTTTTCTTTTTGTTTCTAGGAGTCTCTGACCGGGGTGTGGGTAGTCAACTGAAGAGGTGGGGAGAAAATAAAAATCTCCAGTTAGCATAGAAATTTTCTTAAGTTTTGTTTGATAAATTGAAGCCCAGTGAGGTAAGGTGGGTTGTCAGAGAGCTTTGAGAGCCAGAATATGTCCCAAAGTCTTTGATGTGACATCCCATGGTCTTGGTACTATGTCCTGGTGCTTCTTAGCATGCAGAGGCAAGTGCTTTGTGAGTTAGAAAATACAATACAAACATTGGCTGATTTTCTGGGTGGATTCCCTCAATAAGTATTCAGAGAACACACTATGTGCCTGATTCTGGACTCTAGGAACACTGCCTTCACGGTCAAGATGCTCAATCTGTAGACAGATACAATCCACATAAAGTCAACATTGCAATCTCGGGCAGGACACTCACACATCCCAATCTGTACACTCACCTCTGTGTTCTGTAAATCACAGTCATCAGCGCAATGATGACAGCAGTAATCAAACCATAGTCCAACCCCAGGAACAAGGAGGAAACGAAAGTTGTAAGCCAGATGGTCTGAACGAAACACAGAAAGCTTTATGGAGAATCCTGTTAACAATTTCCTAGAGTTACACACACACACACACACACACACACACACACACACACACACACACGGTACCTAACCTTGCCTAACTGGACACTGCATATAACAACTGACTGCGCTAAATTATAATTCTCACATTTTTATCAGCACTAATCCCTGTGTTGCTATGACCAATCACCTAACAATCACCTTTGTTACTTACCAGCTCTATTTTGCTGGTTCTCCAGAAAAAGGGGAGATCTGAGAATTGCATAAACATTCCCTTCAGGTTGACGATCACAATGGCCGACAGCACAGCCTGAAACACAGCACATCCACACTTGCCTCTCCTCTTGCGTCCAAACAGCCCGTTTTGCTGGCTCCTCACTGTCCTCCTGCTGCCCTCCCACACCCTCTCCCCACTCACTTCCTACGCGGCAGTGATGGTACATTTGGAGCCATGAACACCTGCATTTTCAGGACTTGGTTAGCTAAAATGGGCCTTGGAAAACCAGGCTTATATCCTAGCAGCAAACCTGCATGGTAGTCAAGAGGTTCAGAATTAAACTTGGTCCTCGAGGAGTTATTTCACCCAATGGCCTTTCTACATTGGGTGAAATAGAAAGAAAATCTACATTGATTTTCTTTACTCTAACATTGTTCGTCATCTCTACTAGATTAAATATGTCAGTAAACAAATGTCTTAGGCGTGCAGGCCATCTCAGATTTTAAAAGGAAGTGTGAGGTGAGAGAAGATCAAGGAGAAAGGGCCCTTGGAGACTAGCCAGTGCAAACACCCTCTTTGCAGGTAAATTGAGACCCAGAGATGTTGAGACGGCTTTCCCAAGGTCCCAGTTGCTGGTAGATTGTGGACCAGGATCTTGGTCCTAGCCTTGGCCCTTTCTCATACCACCCTGCTAGGGTTACAGTAAAGACCCATGAGACATCCACAAAAATATAAACAAAAAACATAGCAAAATCTGTACACATGGAAAACCTCACACCAAGTCCAAGCTACACACCTGGGGTAATGATTCAAAGAGGAATCCGGTGGCTAATATGACCATCAGAATCATTAACGAGGCCAAACAACCTGCAAGCTGCATGAGAAAAGACACATGGGAGGGGCTTTTAGGAGAGAGTAAGAGGCCAGCATAGATTGGTCCTAGTCTTTTGATAACCAATGTGAGACAATCAAGAAAAGATGGATTCATAGAAGTCACTCAAGCCATTACATAAACCTATTAACTCCTTCCCACGTCTCTAAAGTTCTGGTTCCTCTGACAGCTTTTAAACAGAAGCTGAAATACCCTGACTGAAATCTGCTTGCCGGGGTGGGGAAAGGAGATGTCTGGCGCTGACCTGAAACCCGTAAGGGCCAGAAGAGGTCAGATAAGACTCTGCTGTCCAATGTGGTGTCCACCAGCCACACATAGCTCTTTAAATTAAAAGAATTTAAACTAAAGTAAAAAATTAAGGTCTTGCCTGCACTTGTCACATTGTAAGTGCTCAAGAGCCTCAAGTGGCCAGTGGCTGCCATACCGGACGGTGCAAATACTGAATATTTCCGTCACTGTTGGAAGTTCTATTGGATATGCTGGCATCCTTCCCATTCTCAGTCTGAGGCTTTCATGACAACATCCTATGTCTCAGCTTTGAGGTTTATGATAGCAAGGAGTATCGTATAATTTTTTGATTAAACTGGAGAGTATACCTCTTTCCTATAGATTTAGCTCCTTGGGATCAATCATACTTTTTTCTGATTCACTACACAGCTCACTGGAGCATGGATCTTCAGGCAGAATAGCTTTGGGTTCAGAAAAGAACCAAGGGATTAAAATTAAATTACCACCCAAATCACCAGTCCCGAGAAGCCAGCCATATACATACCTGTGTCTTCCCTCCAGTGCCCTCCTGAACAAGGCTTCGAGACAAGGAGCATGAAATTGCGAAAGTCTGGAAGAGTGAGCCAATGGAATTGCACAGTCCCAGCGCAATGAGCTCCTTTTCCATGTGGAAACAAAGCACACAAGAGATCCGTTATTCTTCAGAAAGAAAGGTGCGATGGCCCACGTAATATACATTGTCAGCAGTATAGGCTGTTTCTTCATTGTCTTTTCAGATATAAGAAATGGTTTAGTATGAGCTCAAAATAGGAATTATTACATAATTTAAGGTGGGGGTGGGAAACACTTTGAATTTTTAGTGTTGGCGGTAAATGCTACATTCAGCCTTCTTTCCCAAATACTCTCTAAGGGACAATCTTATAAAATATAAGTTCTTTATTGTTGAAAGTACTACATGTCTCCTTTCCCCGCTATTGACCTCTCCCCGGCCGCTCCTGCCCCCCAGCACATGCCCTTGCCCCCCTACTATCTGTGTCCATTGGCTAGGGATAAAACTTTTTTGTTGTTAAGGTATATAGGATTGTGGTGTGTAGTTCTGACATCTTTTGAATGCCTGGCTCTTGTTCAACCAGAGTACATGTCAGTGTCCTCCTGGGGCAGTGAGTCCTGCTCTCAGGGCTACTCTGGTCTTCCTGGTGGGATCACTGTGCTTCATACGAATGGGGATCATCTCACCATCTCCTCTTAGAAACACAGAGCATGTTAAAACAGACACTGTCATGCCAAAATTATAGCTCATGGCATTCAGACTAAATACCTTATCTGTAGCTATGTTATAAAAGAACGTGACAAAGAATACACTGTGGAGTTTGAGTGATAAATCATACACTCAACGTTTAATGACCCATTCAGGTAGAAAGGTGGTACTCTGGGGCTGAGGCCTGGAAAGAACCTCTGTGTGTCCAGAAGGGCCCTTTTTGCCAAAGGGCCCTTCCTGAGGAGTAAAACTGGTTCTGGAAAAACATTTTATTCCCAATCTGTGACCTTTCAAAAGTGATCACATCTATTGAATGACAACTGTAATTGAAAAACACACACAAAAAAACCAAACACAACTAAAAACAGTGATAACATCAATAGCAGTATGGCAAACTGGAAACCTCAGATTGGAGATTTCGCCTTTCTAGCTGGACCTCTGCCCATGGGATGAATATGATAATAATCAGATCCACATTAATTATGAAAAAAAATATAATGTTCAATAAATCATGCTTTAAATACATCCACCATCAAACTACACGTTTTTTGATCAAGACAGAGGAATCAAGTTCGCTTGCCTTTCACAGCAGAGCATCATGACTGCATCACTAGGGAACATCTGTGAAAAAGTAATGATCTTTACCTGATTGCCATCGACCTGGTAGCCATGTTTATTTCCCAAGGTCTTGGCCATCGAGATGGTCACTGAAAACCCAACAATGGCTATGGCGATGGCATCCACGTACACGAGGTGGAAGAGGCTGGTGTCCGGATTGGCTGGAGGGAGTAGCCTGAAAGAGCAAGCTGACTTTAGCCCAAGTGCTGTGACCACTGGGAAACAAACATGCAATGAAAGGGGAGCGTCTCAGAGGGGCATTATTTACAAAGGAGGTGATCCAGGGGTACTTGTTGCTCTCGTTTGGCAAAAAGGGCCCTTCTGGACACACAGAGGTTCTTTCCAGGCCTCAGCCCCAGAGTACCACCTTTCTGCCTGAATGGGTTATCAGCAGAGATCAGATGCCGTTTTATTTAGAAAAGGAGTAACCTCACACCTCATGGCACCTGCATGGCAGGTGTAAGTAAGACCCAGAACAGGAAGAAGAGACATTCGAACCAAAGCCTGAGGGCAGGGAGGGTATCGGGCAAGGGTCATCTTGGAGGAGAATTACTGTCCGAGCAAGAGTAGGCACTCACTGCTCTCCCTTGTTATTTCACATAACTGCTCCTTCCCAGGATCTCTTCAGGTGAGTTTCTAACATCAGAAAGGAGCTGCAGCAAATTATGCTCCTTGGGTCTCACCTGGGCATCTGAAGGGGCCGATAATGTGACTCCGGAAGCCCCACAATGGGCAACCTAATTTATGTGGTCCATTTTATAGGTTGGAAACTCCTTCCTAAAGGAAAAGAATAGGAATTCCCTAGAATAGTTTGGGGGGAGGAGCAATATAAGTTTTCAAAGGCACCTGCTCCCATTTGAGACACTGGGCTAGATCAGTGGTCGGCAAGCTGTGGCTCGCGAGCCACATGTGGCTCTTTTTGCCGACCACTGGGCTAGATAATAAAAACAATCAATTAATTGATGCATAATATTATTCTTACAGTAACAATCACTAGGTATTTCCTCTGTGCAGGTTCTGTGCTTATTTATCTCCAGGAGCCCTGTAAGCCAGGCACCATCATAATGGCCATTTTACAGATGAAAAAAATGAGGCACAATGAGGCGAGGCAACCTGTTCCAGGTCAAACAGCTCACCAACTGCTCACAACGAAAACCATGAAGAATCCACCTCCCTGTGCCTCTTACTATGTCATATCACAGTGACAGAGAGGATGTCTCAAGTTCTGGGGTAAAGGAAAGGGAGGGGAGAGAGGAGAGGAATCTAACATAAAAGCCTAGATTATGTGCTACATGCTTGACATATGGCATATCACGCATCCTCACGATAATCCTACTAGCTAGGTACCATTGTTATCCCAATTCATAGGTGAAAAAATAGATGCTTGCAGATGTCAGGTAATTTGCCCAAGATGGAGCAGGCAGTCACACTCCAGGAGTCTGACTTACTGTCTTTCCCTTGCCCTTTGCTACAGAAGCGTTAGCCAAGAGGGAAGGCCTGGGAGCAGCTTTGGCTGAGGAATAAGAATATGAGAAAAGGGTTGATTTTGGAAAGAAGGGAGGAAGGTAAACCAAGAAACACAATGTGCCGCCTCAACTTGGATCTCTAATAGCCAACCGCCACTTTCTGGACACTGTGCTGTGTACGTACTTACGTGCGTGCGTGTAGACAGAGTGATATGCGTGTGTGTAAGTAAGTGGGCTAGTCTGCTTTCACATAGGACCCAGAATTCCTCCTGTCCCTGCACGTGCTGCTCTCCCATCCAGGGGTGGGATCTGTTCCTCCTCTGGGTAAATCTTGTGATTTGCTTTGACCAGCGGAATGTGGTAAAAGTGGCTGTGTGAGCGCTTTAAGCGGCTTCTGCTGTTCTGTCCTGCCTTGAGCCACCACGTAGAGACACCATGTGGACAGCAGACGCCAGCCAGCCCTCAGCAGTCCCAGACACCTCTCCGGCTGAGGTGTCAGCCCTGCGGGAGCCTCCAGCCCCGGTCACCCTGTCAGACATCTACAGGGGCACGGGAGACCCCGAGTGAGAGCAGTCAGAGAACCACCAGCCGAGCCCCACCTGGACTGATGAGCTGCGCACAAAGAAATGGATGCCGCTTTAGGCACTGATAAGACTCACAGATAACGGAAGCGGTGTGATGATACAGATACAGATAGTGGGTAGGCAGGCTTTATTGGTTTCCTGCTTGGTTTGGGGCAAAATTCCAGAAAGATAAGCTTTCTGGGTAGCCAAGTTTCAGAAAGGTAAAATGTCATTTAGAAAAGAAATACTTTAGCTCTGACAGAGGGAAAGCAACGTAATCGGGAATGTATATGGGTGGCATGTGAATTTTCAAAAGAAGTCTAAGTGTGAGAATTCACATTTATTCAAATACTTGTGGTTAGTTATTCAGTAGGGTTAGCTCTTGGATAATGTTTATCACATGACTAATTATCTCAGTGACTCAGGTGTGAGGTCATGGAAAGTGCACACAACTGAGTTTCGGAAGACTGAGCTCTGGGTCCAGGCTGGGACTCACCAGGAGTCACCAAACCTCATTCATGTCTCTCAAGTGTCACCTTCTTGGATACGCTACCTAAAACAGCAACCACAGCCCCTCCCATCCCTTTCCTGGCTTCCTCTCCCTGCATAGCACCTCTCACTATTTGGTTATTGCCTGTCACCCCCAGGAGAATATGAGCTCCACGAAAACCAAGACATTTATGCTTACATGTTTGCTTTTCACTGCTGTGCCCTGGCATATAATAGGCACTCATTAAACACACGCTGAATAAATGAACTTGCTTATCTGTAAAATGGGAATAATGTACGTCACAAGTGTTGTGAGCAGCAACTGAGATGGTGGGTATTAAAGTACAGTGGGACCTTGACTTACGAGTTTCCTGACTAACGAGTTTTTTGAGATACCAGCTGTCTCTCGGCCGATTTTTTGCATGGAGTTGATAGAGTAGTTTGAGTTAATGAGCTCCTTAACAAGCTCGGTTGTGGAACGAACCAATCTCGTAAGTCAAGGCCCCACCGTATTTAAAAATATTTTTATTGATTTCAGAGAGGGAGAGAGATAAATAGAAAAATCAATGATGAGACAGAATCATTGATTGGCTGCCTCCTGCATGCCCCACACGGGATCAAGCCCGCAACCAGGCATGTGCCCTGACCGAGAATTGAACCTTGACCTCCTGGCTCATAGGTTGACGCTCAAACACTGAGCCACCCTGGCCGGGCCGGGCTAACGTGTTTTATAAATGACAAGTCCAAATGGAAAATCAAGCGTTATTACCGTGTTATACCTGAGTTCATGCTTCCTCCTTCAACACGTGCTCTGTGGAGTGAACTGTGTCTTAAAGAGCACCTCCCTCTCCCTGTGATTCCCAAGGTTCGTAGGTGGGGCTAGAGGCAAGGTCTGAGGGGACATCCAGGTGCTGTCAGCCGCCAGCATCCAGGCAAATGTCTGCCTCGGTGTTTTGGAAAGAGAAGGGGGTGGTGAGTGAGACAGTATAAGAGACAGAGACACAGAGAGATGCAGAGGCCGCCAGAGAGGGTCAGAGAGGAACAGAGCCAGACCAGGAGCGGCTCACAGCCACTCTTGCTCCTTCAAAGGAAGGGAATAAAACATTTAAAGAGTTAGGTAAAAGAAAAAGATGAAGCAAAGAAGCAACACAGGATTTAAAACTAGAAAAGTTGTTGAAAGAATGAGCCGGAGAACTTTTGGTTACTGTGTCTTGGACGCTTACAGCGTATCGGGTGCTACACTAGTATCTCTGGGGCTCTCTCAATGGGCCTCGGAAAGGTATCAGTTACCAGGCTTGCCAGGCAGGAGAGGAAACGGAGGCTTGGAGAGGACAGGGACTTGCCCAAGGTCACACAGCTAGAGAGGGGCAGGCTAGACTTAGGTCTTTTGGCTCTTAATTTCTATGTCTCCCACGGAGAGTTTTAAAACACTGGTACGTGCTAAGCAATAGGAAACAAAACGAACACCACATGCCCCGTGGGTGGGACTAAAACGGTGCAGGCAGCATGGAAAATGGCACGGAGGCTCCTCACCAAGTTACACCCAAGAGAACAGAAAGCAGAGTCCCGGAGAGATATCTGCACACCGTGTGCATAGCAGCACTATTCACAACATCTGAGAGGTGGGAGCAGCACACCACCCACCGACGGATGAAAACAGCAACTGGTGTGCCCACCGTGGACTTCTGGTCAGCTTTAGAAAGGAAGGAAGTCGTGGCATATGCTGCAACAGGGATGGACTTTGAGGACATTATACTAAATGCAATGAGCCAGTCACAAACAGACGAGCACTGTACCATTCCACTTATATGAGGTACCTACTGGAGTCAAAGTCAGAGGCGAAAAAGCAGAATGGTGGTTGCCAGGGGCTGAGGCAGGGAGACGGAGAGTTATTGCTTAATGGGCACGGGATTTCAGATTTACA